GATCAGATTTGTGGCCAAGAAGAGAAGGAAGTGTGCAAATTTTGACCTATTATCATTAATACAAACTAAACCTCTTTCACAAGTTACAGGAGGGCTTTCACTCTAAAATCAGGGCCTTTCCACAGAAGGTTAATCTCACTGAAAATATAGAAATAAAAATTCTACTATGGCTGCAAATACGTAAGACAAATAAATAAAGTCATATAGTTTATATATTTCAAATGTTTAAAGAGGCCACACCAGGGTCGGAACCGACTTGATGGCACTTAACAACAACATAGTTCAGAAAGACTAGTTTAAAGTATTGTTCCCTGAGTTCTTGAGGTAACTGGTAAATGTAAGGACTCAAGACTTTAGAGACAGAAAAACCCACAGGGTTTGCTCATCTGTCTTCTAAGGGTATATGTTTATTTCAAAGTGGTTTCTTTCAGTGCTTCCCCTACAATTCAACTGTAGCTTTTATAAACTATTTTCTAGAAGACAAGTTCCCAAATGGGGTGGTGGGGAAGGGTGCTCAAAGAATGTAAAGCTTTCAAATTAGTTAACGGTGCAGTTGAATAAGTCAGTTTTCTATCTGTAATGGATTAAGAGTGGTAATACTGTCTTAGATGTTAGAAGCAGAGGTCTGTGGACTCAGCCTTTTTTGACTACAGTGGATATTCCTGAGTCCAGTATCCTAATCAAACAGAAAGCCTTACCGATGAATTCCAAGAACCAAAACTAGTAGAAACAGAATGACTTCAGTATTTATGTGTATAGAATACCTACATTTGGTTTTCAAATAAATAAGGTTCAAAATAAGGATTCTAATAAGATCTGGAAGTTAAATATCTAAAATTGATTTGTACACAATAGGAATTTTTGAAACTCACTCAAAACTGGGGTTTAAGGGTCTTTGTTTTCATATATTAGCCTTCTTGGTATTAGAGTATTAAAAAAAAAAAAAAAAGGAAGTTTAAGAGTCATTGGAACAGAACAGAATATGTGAATATTTGTTTGGAACTTCTGTAAGAATCTCTTTAGGGAAACTAACTACAATGAATGGAGATACCAATCCTTTGTTAGCAGTTTTTGGTTAAACTTAATTTCAAGCCATAAAAGGTTAAAATAAAAGGGTATATATGTGTGTGTGAATCTACTGAAATATGTGCGTGTGTATGCGAGAAACTACTGAAATGTTCCATCCATTCCAGTGAAGTGCACACACATCCTTTGGCTTGGCTATGACCTCAGAGGAGGTGCAGAAGTCAGCGGTGCTGGTGTCAGATTCCTGACTATATTACTGAGGCTGGCAATCTTCTCTTCTAGGAGGCAGTTCTTCTTCTCTGCTGTTTTCTGCCGCTGTTCAGTCATTTCCAGAGCTTTCAACAACTGGGCATTCTCAACATACAAATCCTTCATCATCTCATCTGCTTTAGTATTCTTGCAGAGCTAGAAACAGAACCAGAAACATCTTGACTCCATTTCTGTAATTCTGCTTTTAAGCTTAAGGTTTGACATAAAGACAGTTGTCTATAAAGGCAAATAGTTTCTATCAATTATGTTCTTTTATTTACAATACAATTTTAATATCAGACCTGGCATCAGGGATACGAGTGGAGCAAATCCATTTTTTTTCCAAGGTAGTTCTTTGCACAATATGCAGAAGTTACTGATAAAAAGAACAGATTGATAATTGAGGGGTCAATTTTTTTTCATTTAAAATTAATTAGGTGCTATTTCTTTATTGATTTTCTAAAACTATCAAAATACTTTTTTACAAGTTGTTTTTGAAGTGTACAGTGTGGAATTACCTACTCTTAACAACAGATGCTTGAGCTTCCCATTTTATAATATGCAACCTATTGATTACGTAAAAATCTGGCTCATGTATTATAACAAAGACATAATATTGAGTAGTTGTTTTCCTTAATTATTCCTGTTTTGCATACAGCCTTTACTTAGAAGATATATTCTAATCTTATTGTTAGAGTACATAGTCTAGGTTGGGGTAGATATGAAAACTTGTCAGCAACCTTGAGATAATTTTATTGTTGAGTAACTTCCAGTCCTCACTTCCCTCAATGTACCTCTAGGCAAGGCATCTCAAAGTATAGAAGTTTATGGGAATAAAGAGTAATTTGAAGAGTTGCTAATTAATTTACTAGCATTTCAAAGTATGAGGACAAGGACTGTAACACTCTGAAACCCAGACTTAGATGACTGGTATGTGTAATATGCTACTGGCTACGGAACCCTTCAAATATAACTTTTCTTTCCTCCCTTCCTCCTGTTCTCTCTCCCTCCTTGTTTTCACTAAAAGCGCTTAGATGGCTCTTCATCATCTGTGGAATAAAATTCAAATTCCTTGGCTCCACATACAAGGCCTTCTACTGCTCTGCTCCTTCCTTCCTCTCTAGTAAAGTAGGAATTGCTAATACCAAAGTGTCTGTAGATAACCACATTCTATATATGTTGTCATAACTGTACCATGTTCCCACCGTCTAAAGTGACTTTCCTACATTTCTGCACTTTTTCAAATCATATTCAACCCTCAAGTCTTGGTTTAAGAGGCCTTCAGGAAAATGTCTTGAAATTCCTGAGCTGGATCAAACATCTCTTCTCTGTATTCCCCTCTGCAGAAAATATGATAGTCAACTCTGTTTGTGGGAGTTTTGAACCTACCGCAGGTCAAATGCTTGGCACCTTAGAGGTGTTACTGGAATTTGCACTCGGCATGGTAAAAGACTATGCTTTGTCCACTGCTGTATCTCCAACTGCTTTGAGCAGTACCTGGCACATACTTAAATGGATGTTTAAAGGATTGAATGGATAAATACTTACTGAATAGGTCTTTTCTATTTCCTTCCCTCTGTGTCTTAAAAATACAGGCAAAGGAAAGATCCCACCTACTTCTGCATTTTCCCTGGGATTCTTCTTCGGTATTATGTACCTAGAACACCAGGCTGAGAAATTTCTACCTTCCTCCACACCAGTCCATATCAATCTCAGTTTTCATAGAATTTATACAACTCTCCTGGAAGTAATCCTCCTTGTGTCTCCTTAGTACATATACAACCAATTTCTAAAGCCTAAGTCCACCCTGCTGCCATAGGTGAAAATCATTAGACTACTTAGTGGTCTTAGAATTTGAAGTCCAGATGGTAAGGTACTTTTTGAGGTTGTCACAAACTGTTGGTAACAGGAAAGCTAAAGTTCCATTAGTCACTAGCCTCCCTCCCTGAATTTTTTTCCCCCCCTGTGGATTTAAATAGGAGTATTTCTTGGCTTGGGCAGAAGAAAACTATAAATATTCAATCTGAGCCACTGAAACCTCATTAGGAACGCTTTAGATCTATGTGAGTCACTGTTAGCAAATATATAATTTTAATTGTGGGAAAAATATATGCCTTGAGAGAGTTTTGGATTACAAGATGATGGAGAATATAGACTTCATACTCTTTGGTGGGGAGTGGGAGAGAGATTTCTAAGTTCTTGTAGACATTTACAGTAGAATTTGCCTTTATTAGACAACAAAAAATGTTAACAAGTTAATGGCAATAAAGGAATGTAAAAGTGGAGTTAAAATTGGAATGTGGAGTGGGTGGGCAGAGGTGACCAGGGAAGCTCACTTGTTCTTTGAGCTGATTCACTTTCTCCTGGAGAAGCCTTTTCACTAGTTTCAGTTTCTGTTCAACTTCCATCATTCGTTCTTCCATGGCAGTTACCAGTTGTTCCTGGTTTTCCTGCAGGGAAAGAAAAAAACGTACTATCACTTGAAAATCATGCCACACCAAAAAGAAAACACTAGCATATTTTCCCCACAAGATGCCTAGAGAAAGGACAGCAAGTGCTTTGTCTTTTTAACAGGGCGGATGGATTTCTGATGAAATGGGACTTGTGGTTGCACATACTAGAAAAGTAATCCTACCCAAGAAAGAACCAAAGACCAAAAAAAAAAAAAAAAAGAAAGAAAAACAAAAAACAATCTTACCTTTGTAACCATCTTCCCCTGACATAGAAACAAAATTCTTAAAACCCATAATTTAATACTTGTTTGTATTGCTAGTAAAATGGGTACCCGCAGTAAACAAAAAGATGGGTTTTCTTCTGTGCTCTCTAAAACTGTGAACCCTCTGAACAATGAAACAAAAGTGGTTTTCAGAATCCCGTACAATGTCCAATCAGCTTGCAAATGGGTGTCTGTTTTTTTCTTTGAAGTGGCTGATTGCTGTAGGGGTGCTATGGGTTTTTTTCCCCCCTTTATAACAATCAGCGTCCTTCCTGCCAGTTTATTCTGGTCATCTGTTTCCAAATTTGACTTGTCAATATGAAGCAAACATCTGGTTTGGAGGATGGGTTTATCATTAGAACAGATTTGAAATGAAGAATCTTCTCCTTGCAGAGAGCTTCTAAATAAAACAATAGGGCAGGAAAAAGAACCCAGCCTTTCCTTCCTCCCCTCCTCACACAACAGTGATGAATAAAAGAGAACACAGTTCTCTGAGGGCAGAGAGTCCCGGAGAGCTTACTGGCTGTCCTCCCCCTCCCCGCAAGATGTCTACATAAGGAATTCCAGAATTCAAAAGTTTCTACAAATATTTAAAAAAAGTTAGGAAGTTACTAGCTGTTGGCATGACTTGCCTTTGGAATATTTTTAAAAAGGTATCCTTTTAAAAGTAGGCAGAATTATCAAACATGAGTTGAAAGTCAATAGTAACCACCAGAAATGAAGCAACAAAACCATGGAACTAATTGAAATACAAAAATTTTAGTAGGTAAGAATCTAAGGAAGAAAGTAAATTGCAAGAAATCAGGCTTTGAGAACATCTAGCTTTTTAAAAAGTCCTGTATTAAAAAAAATACAATGGCTTTAACAAGCTCATACATAAATGGAAAGTACCCAATTCCCACTTGCCTTAAAAAAAAAACAGAACAAAGTAAAAAAATAAAAATAATGAATCCAAAGAACAAAGAGTATGGCAAAAGTGTGGGAGGAAGAGGAAGAACAGAAGCAGTCATATATTTAAAATTTATTTTATTGTTTGTTTCATCAAAATTTTCCTTTGTCCTGTCAAAAATTATTATACAGCTAATACAAAACAGTATAAATAGTTTGAATTTTCTTCAAATTCCATATATAAAAGTAGTACCTTTGTTAAAAATAGTTACAACATATGGAATGAGAAAATATATAAAATACATCCTTTTCAAGAATTTCAAATCCACACTCTTTAAATGGTTTAAATAAGATGATTTGTAACAAGCTAGAATTTGTGAATTTGATTCACAATATTTGTCATGTCTATATAAATAAATGAGACATAATACTGCAAAGGCTTAACAATAATAATAATAATAATAAAATAATTTAAAAGAGCACTTGATTCCGTAACATTGCTCAGCTTATGTCTCTGTGTTTGTGTGGTGTGTGTGCTTGTATGGGTGTGTGCATTTGAGTAGCTGCCAGGGTAAGAAATGCCATCAATAGCAGCCCAGCTTTCACAGGTGCCCAATCCTTCTGTAGGAATCTGCATGCACTGCTCGCTGCTCCGGTAGCAAGGCCTAGAGAAAGAAGGCAAGTGGTACACTTCACCCTGATGTCAAGATGGTTCTTGGGGGAATCTAAATTCACACATTTATAATGCAAACAATATTTAGATGCACATACATTAACACCATATAAGCAAGCAAAGCAACACAAAGGCAGAAGAAATCACATCACTCCACACACATAGAACAATGTACAGATTCGAGTAACATTCTGTGATCTTAAAATTTGTGTCAGTTCATTGACCAGAAACAGAAGAGCCCACAGGTGGCATTGTGGAGAGCAGTATGTATGCAGTCCACTTGCCATCTGGCTGGAGGATGACAAAAATCTTGTTTTTGTCTCTCTAACCCTGACTCAATTGAGGTAGAAGGATTGGGAAGAGAAAGCTTTGAAAATACTAGTGTGCATAGGAGAGCAATGAGCAGAATCCTAGCCAAATCATTTGGTTTGGGATGTCCGTTAATCAGCTAGGTAGAGATTTTACGTGTCAATTTTATTATACAGAGTTGAAGTATACCTCCAGTGCCACACTATCACAATTTTAATTCAAGAGTTTCAGTTTAATATTTGGAAATTGAAGTGGTATGTAAAAAGCCTCCAAAACATGGATTTGAAAACACATGTTTATTTATAAAAAGTTTCATTAGAAAAACAGGTACATTATGGCACAGATACACAATAGTGGGAAAGGAAAGCAGAACTGCTCCAATGTATTATTACAACGCTAATGTGAATTTGCAAAGCCACTTTGAGGGGATTAAGGAAAAAAAAGAGTTCAGAAATTCCTTTTCAAATGTTTATTGAGTGCCAAGGTATTTGAGAACAGAAGAGCATTCAAACCAGAAAGGACTGAGAATTTATGTAGCTATTTATTTCCAAATTAATTTATTTAGAAAAAAAAATATAATTCCATAAAAAGTACTTATTAATTATTTCTAATTCCAAATAAATTAAATGGGCAACACCCAGGGGTTACGACTCTTCTGAAGAAGGATGATTATGAATGAAGTACCAAAGTGAAATAGCAACTTGAAAAACTAGGTAACATGGGATTGTGTCTGGGTAGTGAGTAGGGATAATGCTAATTCATAGGGAAGGGAAAGATCTTTATTTTCTTAAAAACAGAGTTTTCAAAGTAGGTAATTTTAAAAAATTAAGTTAGCCTATGCCATTAAAAACATTTCCCTGACTACACCTACTATTTTATTCAAGAACTGTGAAAAGTCTTGTGAATTCCATGGAATTGGTACAGGGGAACCCAAGATGCTTTGCTAGTGGTGCATAATCCTAGGGTTACACTTGAATCTTGTAAAAGTTTTGGTCTTAGACAATACTACTGGACCAATTGTTCATCATAATCAAATGATCCTGCTACTTCTGTACCCACTACACATGTATAAGGACACCTAGGACACTTAATTATCTAGCTTAGAAGGTAAGAGCTCAAAAGTAGCACAGCCAAAAAAAAAAGGTTAACACTGCAGTTCTGTGGATCTGGAATATAAGTAAGGTGTAACTCTCTGACAAGCTATTTGGGTATTTATCCACACTTTTGAACTGGTAAACTTACAAACAAGTAGGTAAAAATCACACAGGCAACTCATCAGATTTGAGTTTACTATTAAAAGAAAAAAGAGCTCCATACCTGTGGTGTGTTAGTTTCGGAGGTCCTGTTTTCAAGTTCCTCCTGCAGGTGCTGGTTGATCCTTTCCGCCTGCAGCAGCCGGTGTTGAAGCTGCAGAAACTGCTCTCTGGGCACCATTGGACAGGCTTGCTGCTGGAGCAGCTGCAGATCCCAAGCATGCGGGGATGGGCTAAGCATCACAGTGGACCTCAGGTGCTGCATCTGAAGGACAAGAGCAAAGTCTGGTCACTTGTGGTGCCTCTAATCACAGAGGTGTCCTTGAAGGTGTCAAGCAGGGAGCAATGAAGTCTATGAATCCATTACTGGCCTCTAATACCCATTGAGGAGTCCTGCTGTGGCAATGTAGGATAAGTACTTGATTGCTAATCGTGAGGTTGGTGGTTCAAACCCACCAGCCACTCCTGGGAAACCTTATATAGGGTTGCTATGAGTTTGCGATGATTCAATGGCATTTTACAACAACAATACCCACTGAAAGTTTGGAAATTGATCCTGAGTTAGATGTAGTGAAGAGACAGTTTGCTTAGGAGATAGTAGAATTAATGAGCAGGACTTCTTAACAGTTTTAGACTTAAAGAAAAAAACAAAAACAAAACAGTAATTGCTCACTCTCAAGTGGCTATAGCTGCATGCCATACATGTTGCTCGGTATCATCGAGTTGATTCTGACTATAGTGACCCCGTGTGACCGACTAGAACTGTCCCATAACGTTAACTAGTCTGTAACATTTATGGGACCAGATCACCTAGTCTTTTCTCTAATGGAGCCACCGGATAGGTTCAAACCACAAACTTTTTGGTTAGCAGCCAAGTGCTCAGCCACTGTGCCACTAGGCCCCTTCATGATAAACATCTTAATTCTACTTATTTTTCTTACACTAGAACAATATTTAATTTAATTAAACCATCCTTTTTATTTATTCCCACAGACAAGATGAGGTAGGAAAATTAACACAAATTTTGAGATCACAGAAAGCAATTGGAGTTGGGAAGAGAAAGTATTGAAAACACTAACATGAATAGGAGAGCAAGAGTAGAAGTCTCACTAAATCATGTGATTTGGAATGTACGTTAATCAGCAAGGTCAAGGTTTCGTATTTCAATTTTATTATGAAGAGCTGAAGCATCCCTCCAATAATTCAGGGTTTTGCCACTTTACTTAACTACTTAACTACTTAACATTCATAAAGAATCTTAAAAGCAAATGTTAAATGCCTACATATTTTCCAACCTCAAGCTTTCAGTTGTTTCAGAGAATCTTATCTTACATCTAAAAATATTTTAACCTACCTTAGTTTATCAGTGTGTAGTTCCACCCTTAAATTAAGTAGCACACTAAGACAGGCAGCTCTAGCACATACAGAGATAACCCAGAACATCTGGGAATTGGAGTACATAGAAGTATTTGTTCAAGACAATAAGAAAAACGGTATATGCATCAACATGCCAATCAAAGTTGGAGTAAGAAAAAGAAAAAGATACACAGCCTTTTAATCAGTGAAAAGCATGCTACCTCCGATCTGGATACACACATTCAGCAGTCACATGGCTTAATGGAAGGCATGCAACAAACAGGACCAAGTACAAAAGTCAAGAGAAAGCACTCCCAGGTTTGTGAGAAGGGGAAAAAGGCCCTTCCAGGCACAACCAAACGTAAATGTTATCATGAAACCTCTGAGCCATTATCCATTTCTTTAAATCTAAATTTGTGAAGTGGGCCATTACCCATTTAAAAATACCTTGTAGATACAAAAAACCCAGGACTTTATTTTCAGGAATAGAGGATATGGAGAATTATATTCCCATAATTTTCTATCAGAGTTAATTTTTATACACAATGATTTACAAACTGAAGAAAATCCTCGTGTAAAAGTAAGTGGGGACATATTAAAAAGTAAAATCAAAATGAAAATGAATACTGGCTCATACCTTAAGTACTTATTGCTATCATTAGTAGAAATGATTACATGAACAAGGAGTGTAATGAGATGTTTCCATGCTATGAAAGTTCATTGAAAAGAATGTTCTACCTTCACACACTATCTCAGGCAAAGAACTGCACCCTTCTCTGCTAGTTCCAACCACTGAGTTCTAGGTTAGCCACAGACAAGAAAAACAAAATTAACAGGAGTTATACAAAGAGGAAGAAAAGTATGAGTTATAAAAAGAGAAAGAGCAGTACCAGTTGGGTATATTATATACATGAGCATGGGTACTTTAGTCAGTAAGAGCTTTTGAAGGACCAAGAGTAACACTTCTTTACATATAATTTTTTTAGAAAAAATATTTTATAGCTCTAATTCTACAGTGGCTTCCTCAGCTACTGTAATTTGGCTGGTAAGTTTGTCCCCTTTCTTCTACGTATCCCACTATAACTATTTAGAAGATTTCAGGTCCAGAAAAGAATTGATGTTAGATCCCTTGGCACTTGGAGGTGTGGAACAAAAGCTATAAAACATTCTGTTGTTCACGTGTCTAGACTGTGGTCTGCCATAGAGACATACAAGTAGGCTTAAGAACAGCTGTACAGTCTTTAATCCTTTTTAAAATGCTCAAATGAATTATATATAGAACATTTCTTCATATAGCTGAAAACCCCCTGAAATTCTAACTGTGACTCTTCCACTTCCTAGTCCAGTGAGTGGGGATCTTTAGCTACACTTTTGAGTATGTACTGCATTAGGTCTGTGACTTTTAAACTGGTTACATATAAGGATGAGGAAAAAGCCTTTTCCCCGCAAGGGAACACATATGAAGGGGCTTCAAAAGGTTCATGGAAAAACGGACTTGAAAGACCATGGCATTTTTCCATGAACTTTTTGAAGTCCCTTTCATATATCAGACTAGAATCACCTGGAAAGCTTTTCTCAAATGCTCTGCTTCTCAAGATTACAATGTAGGAGCATCTCCCTGTCTGCCTACCTCTCCTCACCTCAACCAGGTGAGATCTCTGCCAGATTCAGAGGAACAGACCTAACCCCTCGGGTGAGCTAGGGCCCACAAAATAGTGTGAAAACCACTGCAGATTCCCCCAGTTGGCCTCATCTATAGGTATCATAACATAGAAGAAAAATCTCATTTGTAGACTTAATGGCTCAGTCTTATTTCCTAATGTAAGTGTCCTCAATGTAGAGAGTATATGATATTCTTTTCAGTGCTCAAATGGAGCAGTCCTGCTCCCCCTTAGGCAGCTCTAGTGCCAACAACACTCAATTTGCTTCATTCATTAGCAAACATTTACTACCACATCAGGGAGAAAAATTATGAGGGGGAATTACTTATAACAGCTGCAATGCAGTGGGGCTGGAGGGATGAGTGTTTGTGAGGCCAGCCAGAGCAGGTGGGAGAAGAGCTGGCCGACTGACAAAGCATTTGGAGAGGATTGAACAGTGATGAAGTATACCCTGTTACTCTTCAATTTGGCTCCAGTTATCTTAGTCATTAGAGTATATAATTACTTTATCAGAAAAGCATATCTACATCTAAACACAGCTCATGGCTCACGGCTCTGAACACATTTATTATATGCTGTCAGGAAAAGAAAGAAAAAAGGTTTAAATTTCACTATTTATAGTTTTACTAATCTCAAATAATATAAAATTGATGGGAGCCACAGTGGTTATTTAAATGTCAACACAATATGTTTGCCCATATTTCACATTTAAAACCAAGCATCTATATCAAAATTTCATAAGAGAAAATATATATAATTCTCTCTTCCTTCCTATAATTCTGGCTTAAAAATATACATATACAGAGCATTTTTTCAGAGCACACGAAGACATTTCCTACCCATGCTTCTCTACCTTACATAAAGTTCACTAAATGTTGGATCATTAATTGACTAATATTTTTATTTTATATATATATATAATGACTTGTACATAGTTTGTTTAAATACCCTATAATCGTACTCAGTTTTCATAAAGCAATCTAGTAGATTATAAACCCCATGTTGGAGCAGACAGGTACTACATTCCCATTTTTATATTTAACAGATAACGACTTTCAAAAGGCAGTTAACAAAGGTAGTAATGAACAATGGCAGCACTTCAGAATGAAATTTCTTCAAATTCCCTGTGTTGCTAGAGAGCAACAGTTACCTCGAAAACACTGTAAGGTTACAAACACAGTTGTGGTGAGCACTGTGTCCCTTGGCTGATGTCAGACTGAGTCGCTGAGGTACTGACTGACCTTTGTGCACTGAAAAAGAATCAACATTCTTCCTTCCTCTGTAAATCTGCATGGATTCCTATTACTGTAGAATTAAGCAAAAGCACCTATTTATCAAACTTGGAACGATAAGCCAAAGAGTTCAGCTTGTCAATGAATGTACTTAGATTTTCACTTTTTTCAGAATAGGAATGCAATGCTACGTCTAGTCTCTTTCAACAAATGGCTCATTCACGGACTAAAATATTCTTAACAGCTAAGGCCAGTTGCTTAAAAACTTACCTCCATTAGCTGCTCATCCAGTTTTACTTGTTTCTTTTTGAGGCCTTCATTTTCCAAATGAACTGTTTCTAATTCTCGTTCAATGGCATTCACTTGACTGACCTGTTAGGAAACATAAATATTTTCTTAAAAGCAAAACCAAACAAAAACAACTGAGTTGTCTTACTTTATGTCAATATATTTGTGCTATCAGAAATCTAAACTCATGGAGGAAAACCAAGTTAATTCAGTGATGGAAAACAAAAAGCAATGGATTTGAGGCACTGCTTCCACCTTCACCTATTGTCATTGAGAATCTAACTCATGCTGACTCCATATAGTCCAGAATAGAACTGTGTTTCACAAGGTTCTAAAGATTGTGACTGGCTGGAAGCAGATCACCAGGCTTTTCTTCCAAGGTGCATCTGGATGGATTTGAACTGCCAATCTTTCAGTTAATAGTCCAGCACTTAACCATTTATGACACCCAGGAACTATTTACATGTAAGCAATTTGCTATGCTTCTCACATAGCACAGACTCCTTAAGGCAGCTAGCTGGCTTCAAACTTTGATGCCACCCACTGTAAGACAATGCATGTTATATTGCAGCCCAGTATATATACCTATACCAATGTACATACATATGTTTTTGTTGTTGTTATGTGCCGTGTAGCCAGTTCCAACTCATAGCGACCCTATACAGGATTTCTGAGGCTATAAATCTTTATGGGAGCAGAAAGCCTCATCTTTCTCCTGCAGAATAGCTGGTAGTTTCAAACTGCTGACCTTGCAGTTCACAGCACAATTCATAACCACTACGCTACCAGAGCTCCTTGTACATACATATATATACATTCAATTCGGCACTTGACAACAATTACTGAAAGAAAAGTTTTATGAAATAATACTTAATGTTTACTTACTACATGTACCATGGTATTTTCTAGTATATCTTATTTTTAAAATGCTATACTAGTAAAAATCTAATATAGGAAAAATCTGTCTTTAGGCAAATTTAAAGATTTAAAATCAAGAATGCATAAAATTTGATTTCCATAACTCCTTTCTCAACTTTAAAGATGGAATGTGAAGATTTTATGAGTATCCATTTGGGGGATTATCTTCACTACATTAAGTATCAAATGAACTAGTTGTTGTTAAGTGCTGTCAAGTCGGTTCCGACCCACAGCGACCCTGTATAGGGTTTCCAAGGAGCAGCTGGTGAGCCTGAACCACCAACATTGCAGTTCAAATTGCTTTGCAGTCTGGCGCATTAACCCACAGCGCCACACCAAGAGGAAAACATGACTTTATTCTAGAATGCTGATATTTGCCTTTCTCAAAGCAAGAACCCTTTGGAGAGTAATAAGAATTATTAAGCAAAAATACAATATTTCCAGGTACATTTGAAATTCATGCTACTTTAAAAACCAATGTTGAGACTTCTCCCTTGGTGATCAGCTGGATGAAATAGCACTATTTTCTCTGAAAATTTCTTGAAAAGTACTTAAGTGTACCTGAAATTTAATGGCATGTCAGCAGTAGAGTACAATCTTATTATTGCCTGTGGCCATGATAACTTCCAAAATTTTAATTTAAAAATACTATGTATGCATTTTTAAATATAAAAATAAAGCTCATCATTCTTCCCAGAAAAAAACAAACCATATCTTTAACTGGCCAAATTGTTGATTCTTGAAGTCTACCCATCATATCAGAGCAGTTTCACTAATAAGTCTGGATTTTAGTTTGAAAAAAGAAAATGAACAATAACCCCCAAAGTAATTACTGGTCTAGGACTCCCAATTTCAAGAGACAGAGCAAACTGAATTGCACTACAGAAATTTGACAATATGGTAGCCAGGTTCCAAGATGACCCTCAATGATGCCCACCTTTAAGGCTATTCACACCCTTGTGTAGTATAGCCCCTTCTCATACGATACCAGGGTTAGTCTATTTGACTAGTAGAATTCAGAAGTGATGGTATGAGAGGGCTTCAAAAAGTTTATGGAAAATTTTCATAAATCTTCTAATTACATTTTTCCAAGAACTTTTTGAAGTCCCCATGTATGTCACTTCCAAAATTAGGTGATAGAAGGTACTGCAGCTTTCATCCTGGTCTTTGGTTTTGGTTAGTCTCTCTTTTTCTCATTACCCACTCTGGGGGAAGGCAACTTTCTGAAGAGAGGGCCAGGTTGTGAGGCACTAAAGCTTCTGTAATCAGTCACTAAAGACCAGAAGTCTCCCGCCGCTAACAGCTACACCAGGGAGTATGGAATTGATGACCCAGCCCCAGTGCAGCCTTCAGCTAACTGCAACCCTGGCTGACATCTGGACTGCAATTTCACAAGACTCGCATTAGAATCACCCAGCTAAGTTGCTTTTGAGTTCTAGATTCAATTAACAGAGGTCAGAAATGTTTGTTGTTTTAAGACATTACATTTTAGGCAATTTCTTATGCAGATAATTAATATAAGACCATATTAAGATATTCCTAACGTTGTTGTTGTTAAGCATTGTTGAGTCACTTCTGACTCACAGTGACCCTGTATAAGGTTTCTGAGGCTGTAAATCTGAGCAGAAAGCCTCATCGTTCTCCAGAGGAACAGATGGTGAGGTTGAACCACCAAACTATGGTTTTGCTGTACAGTGCTTAACCTACAGAGCCACCATGCTCCTGATTCCTAACATTAAATCTCTCTGTATTTTACTCTTATAAATCAGCAGCCCTGGTGGTGCAGTAGTCATATGCTTGGCTGCCAACTGAAAGGTCTGCCGTTTGAACCCACCAGCCACTTCACGGGAGAAAGATACGGCAGTTTGCTTCTGTAAAAGATTTGGTGGTGGTGATGGTTATGTGCTGTGGAGTCGGTTCCAACTCATGGCAACCCTGAATAGCGTTTCTGAGGCTGTAAATCTTTAGGGAGCAGAAAGCCTCATCTTTCTCCTGTGGAACTGCTGCTAGTTTCAAACTGCTGACCGTGAGATTAGTAGCCCGACTTCTGTAAATATTTATAGCCTTGGAAATCCCATAGAGTAGTTCTACTCTGCCCTATATGCTAGGAGTCAAAATCAACTCAATGGTAATTAATTTTAAGTATTGGGTTTTTACATGGTTGGCAGTTCAAATCCACCAATCAGTCACTGCACAGGAGAATGATGAGGTTGTCTGCTTCTGTAAAGATTTACAGTCTCAGAAACCCTATTCAGGGTCCCAATGAGTAAGAATCAACTCAATGGTAGTGGGTTTATAAAAGCTTGCAATTCTAATGATGATTCAAAAACTAAAAAAAAAAAAAAGTATTATAAAGCTGTTACTTAATAAAAAAAATCATTATAAAGCAGTTACTTAATCAAAAAGAATGCTCATGTAGCTTTTTAATGGTCAGAAAGAGACTACAGGAACCTGATACTATGACCTTCCACCACCCTTCAGGTCTGGAAAGGAACTCACCCTCATAGCCCAATTTTCAGCCAAGCAGTAGATAAGTTTATAGGGAGGACAACAACACTAGTAAGGTATGCTCACCGTGGAATGGTCAATCATTCAAGATCAAAAGGGGAATATTTACCTAAGGACAAAGTTGAGAAGGGATGGGGAGGTGGGTGGATTGGAAATAAGAACTACATGAGGGGATTGTAATCACTGAAATGAAACAAAGTATATGGTTTGTTGAATGTAAAGCTGATGATCTTGTGTATAAATCTTCACTCAATTTACAACAAAAAGTTTTTTTTAAAAATGCCAATACAGTTTTAACAAGATTACAAATGCACAGAGATATAATAAAGAACCAGAATAAGCCACTGTATTCACTTCCTTAGAAGCACGCCTAGGAAGAAACATGTACTTAAGGAAATCTAATAGCCAGACACAAAACCATAAACACTCGAAAACGTACCTTCCTGTTGGGGGATCGTTCTTTCTGAAACTGTTCACATTCTCTCTTTAAGTTTAACTTCTCTTGTTCTGTGGGTTTCACAGTACCTGAAGGGTGTAGATGTTTTTGGTGTTTAGGGGGAAGAAAGTTGGATTCCAGTTGACGAACCTAGTAAGAACAAGTGTAAGAGGAAGAAATGTTAACAGAATCATCCAGCCCAGGAAACCAAATAACAGACCTAAGGAATGGTTGTATTCAGCACTTGGGTTCTGTTGTATTAAAATCCCTGCTATTCCAGCTAAATCTGCCAATTCTTGAAGCCTATCCTTCTGGGTTTCAAAAGATCTTTCCCAGGTAAAGACATTTCTAATCTGGATGGGTCTAAATTAAAAATCAAATAAAGCAATTTTATAGACTTCGACAAACAAACAAACCCCAATATTATAAGGACAAGACTGGGAAGAGGGAACTTCTAGCTCTGACACATAACCAAACCTCTAGGAGTCAATGGTGTGGTGTGTCTGCCAAGTACGTAGACATTGCTTTGGCATGGGTATAACTTTTGGAGAGTGAATGAAATAGCATTCTCACTTGCTCTGTATTGGATTATACACACTTGAAAAAATGCATTTACATCCACTATGTCCCATGGAGATGGGGACCATGTCTACTGCTGCCTCCATGATAGCAGAGTCTCTGGCACAGGGTTGTTGTTGTTAGGGGCCATTGAGTTGGTTCTGACTCATATCCACCCTATGTACAACAAAATGATTATTTGTACTATTCAGAGTTAGAATTCCTCTCAAAAGAGTGTTTAAGTATGAGTTAAACATAATTGGAGGCCTGTTATGGTGCTGTGGGTTAATATGCTGGACTGCAAGGTCAGTTTGAATCGCAAGGTCAGTGGTTCGAGCTCAGCAGCTGCTCCTTGGAAACCCTATACAGTGTGGCTATGGGTCAGAACTGACCTAACAGCACTTAACAACAACAAACATAGTTGGTCAATTACTTGGAGAGGTTAAGAGAATGTAGGCATCAGTTCACTGGTTAGAAAAGATGACCTTTAAAGCCCATTTTCAGATGCTTGTCTTTAAAAAGGCGACCCCTTGTGTTCATACAGGGAGTCCCTGGTTAGTACAAATGATTAACACACTCAACTGCTAACTGATAGGTTGAAGGTTTGAGCCTACCTAAAGGTGCATCAAAAGAAAGCCCCAGTAATCTACTTTTGAAAACTCTGTCATTAAAAATCCTATGGAGCACAGTTCTGCTGTAACATATACGGGGTTGCCATGAGTTGGCATTGACTTAACAGCAACTTGTTTTTGTTTAATTCATACAAGAAATTAGACCAGCAAGATCTCTATTTAGTTCTTCTATTTTGTAGTTTTGTCAACTAGCCAATTAGAGTGAGAAAAATATGGTTAACATAATTTTTGTAAGTCTATATTGTAGATCTGAAGATTAAAAGCCCAGAAAGGTTTTACTATAGAAATGTTTATATGAAATGAAAAATATTTTATTAACACATCAGGATACAACTATATTCATACAAATGACAAATTATATATTTTTACAGTAAGTCTGCCATAGCAGAATATTCAAATCTATACCAAGGGGCCATTTCAATCATACTAAACATTCATTTGATATCAAACAAACCATTTTCAAATATATGCCACTAGGTACAATTTTCAAGTTACCTTCTCTCGGGAGTGTATGAGTTCTGCTTTGGTGTTCTGCACCACAGTTTGGAATCTCTCATTCTCCTGCCAAAGCAGCTGTTGCTCCTCATTCATCAGATGATCCAACTTGTCCCAAGACAGCCTTTTTTGCTGGTTATGGAACCCTGATTGGTATGTGGCTATTTCTGGGGCTCTGTTCTTAAGAGAGAATTGAAGAGTTAAGTCTTAAAAGTAAGTTGATGGGTAAATTTCTAGCTTGGGAAAGGTGTCAAATTTATCTAATGACAAGTCTTAGCACCATTCAGCCTTCTCCTTTCTCTTCTAATGGGAGTGTATATATATATATTATATTATATATACCAAATATTTATATTATATATACCAAAATCAAATCAAGCTAAATCAAGTATATATATAACAAAATCAAACCAAGCCCACTGCCATCGAGTTGATTCCAGCTTGTAGCAACCCTGTATGGAGTTTCCAAGGCTGCAGATCTTTGCAGTCTTTTCTTTCTCCCACAGGGCAGTGGTGGTTTAAACCACTGACCTTGTGGTTAACAGCTCAATGCCTAACCCACAGAGCCACCAAGCCTCCTCAAAAGTATATGCAGATATAAATTATGCAATATACTTGGAATTTGGTACTGAAAAAAAAGACTTAGAAATTTCCCCTTTAAAACGGTCTTTAGCATAACAGTCCCAATATGGGATCCAAGTGCATGTAGATTTGTGACATTAAAAACTGCCTTATTTTCATGAGATTATTTTGAACCAAGATAACTAGTCTTTTGGTTAATAGAGAAAACAAGGGACACTGACATGTGCTGTCAATATGAAAGCTTTCACAAGCTAAACTCCACTTTCAGTTTCACATGCAATCAGGTTCTTTTTTTAGAAACCAAAGAACATACTGTCCATGTAACTGAGGCCTGGACTAAGGAACATACTTTTAAGCGGCAGAATGATTTCTTTTTGGATCCTGAAAATGCTTAAGAATATAAAAATGGTAACAACCACAGAAGCCTCCTTTCTTTTAAGTCAAAACATTGAAAATGAAAAAGGTGCTCATTTTGAAAAAAATGTATGAAGAAATTTTGAAAATGGAAACAACTATTTCAGTAAAATTTTTTAAAAAAAGTAACTGAACCATTGACTACTTTTACTATAGAACAAAATCTTAACATCTATCCCAAGGCTGTTAACCCAGGACATTGCTATGAGTTTATCTGCGAGACTAAGCAGCAGTGTGACATATTAAAACGAGATACACTTTCTAGAACATCACCATAATGTGTCATCCAGCTAACACTTTGACCAGCATTTCCTAGACTTTCTGGTGTCATTGCACCAACCCATCTGGTAACAATGGATTAACCTGAAATTCAGTACTATTGTTTTATGACACAGTTTTCCTTTTCATCAGCACTGTTACCTTTTTATAGCCTTTGTGTGTGGGCCTGTTCCTAGATTAATTTTTTGAAATGCTTTCTCTAATTTGTTAGGGCTGCATGAATGCTTTAAAGTCTATCACTTTTTAAAGAAAACATATAGGGTCACTCTGAGATGGAATGAACTGTACAGCAATGAACCAATTGTGCCAACTCAGAGACACTCTGTAAAGGGTTTTCTGAGGCTGTAAATCTTTTTAAAAAGGATCAGAAAGCTTCATGTTTCTCCCATGGAGCAGCTGTGGAGCTCAAACCACTGGCCTTGTGGTTTGTAGTTCAGTGCTTATCCTACAGATCCACTGTGCTCCCAGGTATATAAGTGTATATATATAATTACAGATGTAAAGCATTATATATATATATATATATATATATATAATATATATTTATTATATATATATATAATATATACATATAAAATGATTAAGCTACACACTTAAAATTTGTACACGTCAATAAAAGAGAAATTACCTTGTCACCAGCATTCTGAAGTTGCTTATGTAAAGACATCACTTCTTGTTTTAAAGTCTCCTTTTCCTGCTGAGACACTCGTAGGTCAGATTTAATCTGGGACATTTGCAGATTCACATTCTGCAGGGTATCTTCTAAACTTTGAACCTGCATCATAAGAACAATCTTACTACCTAAATCCTTGTGGTCTCATCTATAGAATGTTCAGGAATGAATGAGGACAAAAAAATTCCAAGGTCTCTTTCGTTTCTTCCTACTACACCCAATTATCTTCTTAGTAGCTTACTGGAAACCTATGGATATTATGCATATTTATAGGATATTAAATCATATTTAGGACAATAAAAATGATGCCAGGAGCAGGGTATTGCTGATACAGTCATCTGGTGGATTACCAAGTGATATCTTTCTTACAGAACCAGCAAGTACCAAGTGGTATCTCAGATGGTCTTACTCCATTGTGCAGAAATTGGTGTGGCGTTGCTGATTAATGTAGTAAACTGCCGTGAAGGCTGGCAGTTCCATCTCACCAGCTGTTCCTTGGAAACCCTGTACAGGGTTCCTATCAGTTAGATCCCGACTTGATGGCACTAAGCAACAACAGCTATGGTGATTATATAGGAACTCTTAAGTGAAAAGAAACCTGTATCTGTGAAGGACCCTACTTCATGCCAATTATCTGGTATTTCATATAAACGTCAATTTTTAGAAAAACTTAAATTGTAAAAAGTAATGCTGATACAGATCTATGATAAGGCATAAACTTGCCTTAGAAACTATTTTTACATAAAGGTAAGTAGCTATTTTTATACATTTTTTTCAAGCTTTCATAAATTGTTAATTTCACAAATACTAAACTTTGAAGGAACTACTGTTATTTCATCATCCTATAAATGTATGTCATTTTTTAGTCAAACTGAAAAAGTTATCATTTTGAGCCTTCTTCTCTTAGGCCACTTAAACCTGAATCATTTTTTCTTAAATTTTTAAAAAGTTTTTATTGTGAATTGAATGATAGTTTACATGGGAAAATATAGGTTTTACACTCATTGTTTCATTGCAATGATTACAATCTCCTATGTGTGTCATCATTCAACAGCATTTGCTTCTATTCCCTCTGTTGTTTTGGGTTTTTTTGGGGGGTGGGGGTGGGATATACACAAAAACACTCAGGAATATATAATCATTTAAACAACCAAAGGGCACATTCTACAAGCCTGCCTCCTGGCCACCAGCACTCAGTCTTTCTCTTTCCATGAGTATAGAGTTCTTAGCTGCTCTCTCTCACCATGTCCTTATCTCTGCCTCCACCTCTGGTGTCACTGCTTCTCTGGATAGGGTCCCACATTCTGCTCATGCTCTTCTCCCTTGATTGTCCTAGGGTCCTCTGTTTCTGGACTGTAAGATAACTACTCCCCCCTTTTTGTTAACAAAACTTCTACCTTTACAGTTATGACAGCACAATTAGTTTTGATAATAACGACTCCTTACTGAATCATAGGAATCTTATCCCCATCTCTTTTCACCTGACTCGTCTAGACAGAATTCAATAGGGACTTTACCTTGCCCCGTACCCTCTTAAACTAAACTCCCTCTTTAAAACTTGCAAGCCAGTCACTTTGTGCTTTTATTGCCCCCTCATTTTAGGTAGCCAATGTCTGAGTTGCCCATCCCTATCAACCCTGTATGCAGAAGGGATAGGATTGATATGTGATGGGAAGACCTCTTTCCTCTCAGTTGGTATTTTAAGCTACTACCTCCATAAGTATAGGTCAAATTCATCAAATTGTAGCAATTTACACTTGTTTCTTTTATCAAAAATTGTTTTTTTTTATCTTTCTCTAGTCGAGTTCTGATCGTCAAATGGGTACTGTCTGCAAGTTTGGGTGTTCTTGGGCATCTCCCCTCACTTCTTATCAGCTGGATGCTTCAGTCTCAGCTCTAGCCTTGGTGACTATGTCCTCGTCCATGGGCTCATCTGAATAATTTTTAAATCATTTTTCTTATCTTTCAGTTAGAATTTCTGTTGGAAGGTAGGGAATACTACCTGTGAAGGTGAAATAAGAATTGTCCACATACCTTTCCCTGTGAAGCCACTAGTTGTGATTTTAAGCTTTCACTCTGGTGTTCCCAAGATTTTTGCTCCTGCTTCATAGTAGTAATTCTGTTCTCTAAAAGACTTGATTTTGCCAACTGTTTAGGAAGAGAAAAGAAGAGGGCATTTTTGCAAACGTATCTAGCCCTGATTCATATGTTTCCACTTGTGTTGATGCAGCCCTGGACTGAAAGTTCTGTTTAAACCACAGGGTTGGTGGCTCAAACACACTAGTTGCTCCTCAGAAACCCTATACAGGGTCACTATGAGTTGGAAATGACTCAATAGCACTTAACAACAACAACAGCACTTGTATCAACAATAGTCCTGGTGTCGCACTGTAGGATAACCACTGGACTGCTCACCACGAGGTTAGCAGTTCAAACCCACCAGCCGCTCCTCAGAAACCCTACACAGGGTTGCTATGAGTCTGAATTGACTCAATAGCACTTAACAACAGCAACTGTATTGACTAGCCCTGGTGTGGTATTGTAGGATAAGCACTGGATTGGTAACCGCAAGGTCAGCAGTTCAAACTCACCAGCTGCTCTTAGAAATCCTATACAGGTAGCTATGAGTCAGAACCGATTCAATGGCATACATCAACAATTTGTATTGAGAAAAGTCTGGGTGTGGCACTGTAGGGTAAGCACTGGACTGCTAGGTCAGTGGTTCAAACCCACCAAGCACTCCTTGAAACTGATGACACTTAACAATAACACTTGTATCGACAAGATCAAGTGCCATCTAGTAACATGAGGAAGTAGAACAAGCTAATAAAAAGGAAAGACAATTTCCTGATGCCCTGTCTACCTCTAATTTTCAGGAATCTCTTTTCATTTTTCTTTCTCACTGCCTCATATTTTCAAGAATGTACCTTAGAAAGATTATATGGATGTCCATTAATACAGGTAGGAAAAAAAACAGGTTTTTTTTATTTCTAGAAGATGCTATAGAAAAAAGTGCTAGTCTATGAAATATGTTTCAGATTGTTACATATAACAAATTTATACTATATAATATATAAGCAACAGTTATTGTTGTGTGCTGACTCATAATGGTCCTGAATAATAGAGTTTCTGTGGAGTGGTTTGTGGGTTTGAATCTCCAACCTTGTGGTTAGCAATCCATTGTTTATCCTACCGTGACACACCAAGGTCCAACATAGTGATATATATATAAATAACAGTGATAAGCAGCATATTGTTTGTTGTTAAATGCCGTGGGGTTGGTTCTGACTCATAGTGACCCTGCAGAGGGTTTCCAAGGCTTTTGTAGGAGCAGAAAGCCTCATCTTTCTCCTGTGGAGCAGCTGCTGATCTTGTGGTTCGTAGTACAATGCTTATCCTCTGGAGCCACCGCACCCGGATAAGCAACATAGTGACAGACATATAAATGACATTATACATGTATATTAAGTAGCTTTGGGAAATCCACTAGGGTTTTAAAAAAATTCAAGGAAAAATTCTGTCTTTTAATTCTATTTTCCATGAACTTTTTGAAGCTCCCATGTATTAAAACGAGACAAGCTTTGTTATTGTGTTTAATGATATAATTATTAATCAGCTAATTTAGATTCCTGTCATGCCTTCAGGAGATTTAGGGTCACGTAATGCCAGGTGAAACGCTGTTCCAGGAGACTCCGGAACAATTAGGCTAACAGGGGAGACCCACTCAGCACTGCCCATAGAAAACTGCTCATTATGGTGTACATTACAGAGCCATCGTAAGAAGTCTTATTGTTTTTACTACCTTATCAATACAGCTACTTAATTCTTCACTTAGAGCTTCCTTTTCTTTCAGCAGTTTTTCATTGTAGCTTAGAACACTAGAAATTTTTTGCTGGAAGTCAGAGAGATCGGGACATCTGTGCAGCTGTAAGAGATAAACAAATGAGCCCTCCCATCAAATCTCAAGGCTGTATTTATAAAGAGATATTTATAAACAGGACATTTTCATGCCTGCTGCTATTTCCCTATCTCTAGATACTTCAGATGACATATAAACTCTAAGGGTCTATAATTAACTTTAACAAAATGTTCCCTGCTGGCTTCCCCTAACTCTCAATTGAAAGCCCAAACATCTGCTCAGATAGATTCAACCAGACAGACATTGTCAAAAACAAAACAAAAAGGTTCTAGCTTTCCATTTTACCTTCAAGGGTAAAATAAATAACACACCTCCATACTGCCATCAACTTAACTGTTACACATACAGCTCAATACATTTTGCTTATACTTTTTTAAACAAGAAGAAAAATCATTTTCAAATTCTCAGTTAAGGATATAAAATTAGTGTGGAACCATCATTATCCTCTTTAAAGATGAACAAAAGACAGATTTTCAAAAGGTAAGCAAAAAATATGCCCAAGTTAATCAGGATACACTACATAATAACACCTTACAGTATTTATATACAACAAAAGGACCCTAAGAGTTTTTGCTTTTGGTATGTTAATACGACAACAGATACCTTCTCTAGCTATTGCAGAACAGATATTACTTTGAAAAACTCCTTATAAAGCACCTGCTGAGTACTAGTACTGTACTATGCATTATGGGGCACACAAATACTTAAAATCCTATTTGGAAAGCAGGATTTATGTAAGAGTATATACACATACGCTATGGGTCGGAACCGACTCGATGGCACTTAACAACAACAACAACAATATACACATAAATATAACACTAGGTCATACAGATTCAATGTTTCAGTATTCACAGGGAAGGACATCTTGATGCTGATAGACTGAACAGATTCAAGAAACTGAATTTCTAAACTAAAGGTACTATATTAAAGGAATTCTATGGTGAAACCAATAAATCAAATGAAACAACTAAATTCTCCTATTAGACTTCTCACACAAAGATCTGTATTAATGAAAAGTACCTAAAATAGGACAGTGTTTAGAATAATAATTTTAAGGTGGACCCTCTCATACTTTAAGTTAAAACTTTGCTGGAAACCTAATTTGCTATATAAATTTTATAGAAAACACAATAAAATATTATTTGAAAAATGAAAATATTTGCTTGGTACTTTGAAATAGGATCCTTAAAGCCAAATTCCTAAGTGAAGCAGCATCTCTGAAATGCTCTACAAAACCTTCAATGAGACAGACTGACACAATGCACACCACAGTGAACCCACATACCAATGGCGTGAAGATGGCACAGGACCAACCAATGTTTAGGTATGTTATACAAATGGTGGCTGTGAGTCAGAGCCAATTAAACAGCAACTAACAAGGATTGTGGGGTCTACTAGTATCCCCCGTAGCATACTGGATTATGAGCGGGGCAGCAGTTCGAATCTACCAGTTGTTCCAGGGAGGAAAGATAAGACTTTCCGCTCCAGTAAAGATTTATAGCCTCAGAAACCCCATACAGGGTCACTATGAGTCAGAACTGACTCAGTGGCAAACAACCACCACCATAAAAAGTTATTAGGAGTCCTGGTGTGGTGTGGCTGCAGGATAAGCACTGGGCTGCTAACCTAAAGGTTGATGGTTCAAACCCACCAACTACTCCCTGAAAAGTCTATACATAGTCGCTATGAGTCTGGAACTGACTTGATGGCACAAGTTACTAGAGGCTAGGTAGTGGGGATAGTGCTAAAGAATTAAGAAGGACCAGTTTCACCTGTGCCTCACAAGCCTGAGTCAATGGCATCATGAGAGTATTGAGCAAGAAAGTCACTTCGTTTTGACAAGCATATTATCACCTGGCTGGGAAAAAGTAAACCCTACAGGGTAGTTCTACTTTATCGTATATACGGTGACTATGAGTCAGAATTGACTTGATGTCATTGAAAATGGAAGGAGCCCTTGGTGGTAAAGTGGTTAAAAACACTGGCTGCCAGCCAAAAGGTCCGTGTTTTGAACCCACAAGCCACTCCATGGGAGAAGGATATAGCAGTCTGCTTCCATACAGACTACCATCTTGGAAACCATATGGGATAGTTTCACTGTGTTCAACTGACTTGACGGCAGTGGGTTTTGGGTATAGGGTTGTTGTTGTTAAGTACCGTGGAGTCGGTTCTGACTCACAGTGACCCTGCACAGGGTTTCCGAGGCTGTAAATCTTTATGGGAACAGAAAGCCTTGTCTTTCTCCCACGGAATGGCTGGTAGTTTCAAACTGCTGACCTTGAGGTTAGCAGCCCGATTCATAACCACTATGCTACCAGAGCTCCTTTGGGTAGAACAACAAATTTCTTATATTGAAGTGGTTGTGATTCATTTCTAACAATAGAATTTTATAGAGTCTAATAAACACATATGTTATAAGTTACACAACTACAGCAACATTAGAAAATTAACAACAAAAACCAGAACAAACATTTCAACTTTCAACTTTACTAAGCAAAAAACTTCATCAGCAGGATCAATAAAAAGGACATTTGGTGACTACAAAAATCAGACCACTGGGTACCTATTGTTCTATGAATGCCCCCTAAATAACACCAGCCTTACTTGTTTCATTTTCTCTAGTTCATCCTTGAGAAGGAGGTTTTCCTGTTCCACAATATGGGTCTGGATTTTAACTTCAGAAAGTTCTGCCTCTAGGGAAGAAACTAAAGTGGAAGACTAAGAGAAAAATAAAAAGTCAAACAATGAACATATTCATCTAGGCTGGGGCAAACTTACCAGGTTTACAAAAGGTAATACTAAGGAAACACTAAAGCAAATTTAATGGCACACTGTTTTATGACCATATTGAAGGGAACTAACCAAAAGACTGTCCACTTAACGTAGGACTTCTGGTGTGGCACTGTGGATCAGCACTGGACTGGGAACTACAAGATTGGCAGTTCAAACCCACCAGCTGCTCCTCAGAAACCCTATACAGGGTTGCTATGAGTCGGAACCGACTTGACAGCACTTAACAACTCAACTTAACTGGCATGAACATGATTTCTGAAGTACCTTTTGCAGCTTTCTCCATTGTAAACTTATTATCTCATTTCTCTTTGTAGTTAATAAACACAGTGGGAAATATTTTGAGACTATGCAAAGCTCACTTTTCTCAAAACTTTGCCCATTAGTTTTAGTGTATTTCAGTGGACTTTGCTTACAAGTTATAACTTGTGTTTTTCTAATGATGATTTTCTATTTCCTTTTTTCCTTCCAGATTTATATTTGTAATTGTAATGTAAAATAGAGCTATCATTTCTCCTCAATTTTATGTAATCAATTTTGTATCAGTATGTTGTTGTTGTTGTTGTTGAGTGCCATCGAGTGGGGTCCGACCCATAGCGACCCTGTACAGGGTTTCCGAGGGTGTAAATCTTTACGGGAGTAGAAAGCCTCATCTTTCTCCCGCGGAGCGGCTGGTAGTTTCGAACCGCTGACCTTAAGGTTCGCAGCCCGATTCGTAACCACTACGCTACCAGAGCTCCTTGTATCAGTATAGACACTTAGATATCTTAGTCTATACTATCATAATTGGTTTTATTGCTCAAATTGTTCCAGCTTCAACCTTTGGAAGCTCCTTCAGGTTTGGGCCTGTGTTCTTTCAACATGTCCCCATTTTTATTTATTTATTTTTTAGCACCACCTTACTTTCGGTCATTATGAGATATTCCAGGTCCATCTTGTATTTTCCCTGCCTCAGCCCAGGAATCAATCACGTTTCTAATCAGTCCTGGTTCTTTTTATGCGAGAATGATATTTAGAAACCAAAATCTGGGCATTAGGTAACTTCAGTACTGCTGCAACTGCTTCTAGGCAATCTGAATGAACAGAATTAGGAAATATATGTACACTGACATATGCAGGTGGTACAGTAAATGTAGGGCTAATAATCACTAGGATGGTGTTTGTAACACTGTTGCTGCTGTGTGCCGTTGAGTGGTTCAAACCCACCAGCCTCATCAAGGGAAAAAGATGAGGCTGTCTGCCTTGTAAAGAATGACATTCCCAAAAATCCTAAGAAGCAATTCTACTCTGTCCCATGGCGTTACTAGGAGTTGGTGTCTGCTCAATTGTAGTGTGTTAGCCTATCCACATCCACACACCTCTATTTCTGCACCCACCTATTTGTATTTCTCTTAAAAACCATGAATTTATACTGACACCTCATATTCCAATCCAAGACCACAGGGTTCATTTTAGGTTTCCCTCTTTCCTCGCCTATGACATCCTTCTCCAACATAGAGAAATCAGTTCTTGTCTACAATATACAAGTTGTGGTTGTTAAGTGCCATTGAGTTAGCTGCAACTCATAGCAACCCTGTATGGATTTCCAAGGAGCGGCTGTTGAGCTTGAACCACCAGTCTTGTGGTCCAGTGCAGTAACCCACAGCACTACACCACTACAAGAGGGATCTAAAAAGTTCAAGGAAAAAGGGAATTAAAAGATAATGGAATTGTTCTGCAAACTCTTTGAAGTTCCCTGGTATTTACTTACTTTTTCAGTTCTAGTAATCATATAACATAGTTTGAGTTGCTAACATACATAAGAAATGAATTTACTGACTACAGTGCAATATACATGTATAGTTCTTTTTGTCTTTATCCCTACAGTACGCAGCCAAGGTAATGCTGGTGCTGCTGTGTGCCACTGAGTTGGTTCTGATACATAGTGACCGTGTGCAGGGCTTCCTAGGCTGTAAATTTTTACGGAAGCAGAAAGCCTCACCTTCTATGTCAAGGTATTACTTACTTAAATTAGTTATTTTCTTCCCCATCTCTTTAGTGGTTATAATTATTTATTTATAAGACAGATTTGTATGTTAGTGTTTGCATTCCATTTTTGCATCTTCCCCCCATTTTGGTTGGTTTTGATTGTTTTTAATTATGTGAAGAGTATAAATCAGAATGAAATGAAAATTTATACTTAGAGAAAGTCACTCACTTCCTCATTCTTTCTACCCCATTCTTCCGAATTATTCTATTCCTTTTTCACCCATACCCTAGAGGTAAACAATCTCTTTAGATTCTGGTTTATCATTGCTGAATTCTTTTGCCCAAATGAGCAAAAACACATGTTATCTTCTTACGTCTTTCTTTCTTACATGGAGGGAAGCACAGTACAAGCATTTTATACTTTGCCTTTTCCACTGAGTGTATCTAAGAAAACACTATATATTAGTTCATTGAGAAGCTTCCATATTAAAAAACAAAACTTCTTTATAAAACAAAACATCCAGTATATAGTGCTCCACTGTGTGGATGGACCATAGTTTATTCAACCACTTTACTATGTATGGCCATCTAGGATATGATATTTTGCAATCACAAACTATCCTGCAATAACTAACCTTCTGTGTATAAATTTTCACACTGTTAGATGAATGTATTGAGATTGATTTCTAGAAGTGGGAAATGTTTTGTTGAAATGTAGGGACTTAGGTTCTTTTCTTATTGGTGGTGTTAGTGCCTTCAAGTCATTTCCAACTCATAACGACCCTGTGTAGGGTTTCTGAGGAGCAAGCAGTTGGTGGACTTGAACTTCTGATTGATCTTACAGTTAAAAGTCCACTGCTTATCCTACAGCACCACACTAAGACTCATGTCGCTTTTTTGGTGGGGGTTGTGTGCTGTCTAGTCGATTCTGACATATAGTGACCCGGTGTAGGGTTTCTAAGGCCATAAAGCTTTACAGAAGCAGAAAGCATCACCTTTCTCCCATAGCTTTCTTGTTGTTGTTGTTGTCAGGTGCCATCGAGTCAGA